AACCGAGAAGAATCGGCAAAACCTCCAACATCAAAAACATCATAGAAGATGCATGCGAACTCCGTTTTCGATGAACTCAAACTTGTCATCAAGATGACCATAAGCTCTAAGACTCACAAAGAGAACCAAACAAGAACCAAGAAAGATGATGCAAGGATGCAATGGTTTGAGCTCTCTACTAACGATACGATCAAGCTACCAACTTGAGAGCCCCCCTTGATAGTACGACAAACGATCCTATAACCCGGTCTCCAAACTACCACCATGAGACCGGTAAAATAGAAAACCTATCAAGAGCAAACCTTTGCCTTGCACATGGTCCACTTGAGCTAGATGATGACGATCTTGACTCCCTCAAGTTGGACCACCTTACTTGATTGCGTTGGCACGATGAAGACTAGATGATTGCTCCCCCATAGTCCACTATGGGTGAGCCACTCTTCGGCACATCTTCACAAGTCCATTGTCACCACAATGGCCGGCAAGCTTCAAGCACTTGATCTCTTCGCGATGATCCACTTGAACTTGCACACGGCAATCTTGATGACGATCCCCACTTGATGTCATCCTCTCCATGGGTTGAGTGATATCTTCCTCTTGACACAAGCCCATGAACACGTACCTAACCCCACGTAGAACTCTCACATAGACCATGGGTTAGTACACAAAGCACAATGGACAATGCTTACCAAACCATGGGATCACTTGATCCCTCTCGATACATCTTCTACGCTTTGTGAGTTGATCAACTTGATTCACTCTTGACTTAGTCTTGATCAACCTTGAATCTTTCCAACTCTCTTCGTTTGGATGATGTCTTGAAGGTAAACATGAATGATCACACAATCTTCTTCTTCAGGACATGCTTGCAATAAGCTCAACTCTCAAATGACCAATCTTTGGATAATTCCTTGAATAGCACCTTGCTCGACACAAACTCTCCTTGAAACCAACACATGTACTCCAAGAAAAGCCTATAGACAAAACCTTCAAATATAACTCAAGGCAACCATTAGTCCATAGAGATTGTCATCAATTACCAAAACCAAACATGGGGGCACCGCATGTTCTTTCACCTACGCCCACAACTCCTTTGTGTTCTACTCGTGCATAAAACTTCTACGCATAAACCTGGCTCGGATGCCACTGTTGGGGAACGTAGTAATTTCAAAATTTCCCTACGCACATGCAAGATCATGGTGATGCATAGCAACAAGAGGGGAGAGTATTGTCCAGGTACCCTCGTAGACCGTAAGTGGAAGCGTTATGAGAACGCGGTTGATTTAGTTGTACGTCTTCATGATCTGACCGATCCAAGTACCGAACGCACGGCACCTCCGAGTTCAGAACACGTTCAGCTCAATGACGTCCCACGAACTCCGATCCAGCAGAGCTTCACGGGAGAGTTCCTTCAGCACGACGGCGTGATGATGGTGATGATGTTGCTACCAACATAGGGCTTCACCTAAGCACCGCTACGATATGATCGAGGTGGATTATGGTGGAGGGGGGCACCGCGCACGGCTTGGAACAATCAACTTGTGTGTCTTTGGGTGCCCCCCCCTCCCCGCCCCCATATATAAAGGAGCAAGGGGGAGGCCGGCCGTCCTTGGTGCGCCCCAAGGAGAGGAGGAATCCTCCTCCTAGTAGGAGCAGGATTCATCCTTTCCTAGTCCTACTAGGAAGGGGAAAGGGGGAAGGAAAGAGAGGGAGAGGGAGAGGGAGAGGGAAAGAGGGGGCACCCCCTCCCCTAGTCCAATTTGGACTCCTCATGGGAGGGGACACGCCACCTCCTGGGCTGCAGCCCTCTCTCTCCCCTCAGGCCCACTAAGGCCCAATACTTCCCCGGGGGTTCCGGTAACCCCTCCAGCACTCCGGTTTTCTCCGAAACCATCCGGAACACTTCCCATGTCCGAATATAGCTGTCCAATATATCAATCTTTATGTCTCGACCATTTCGAGACTCCTTGTCATGTCCGTGATCACATCCGGAACTCCGAACTACCTTCGGTACATCAAAACACATAAACTCATAATACCGATCGTCACCGAACTTTAAGCGTGCGGACCCTACGGGTTCGAGAACTATGTAGACATGACCGAGTCTCGTCTCCGGTCAATAACCAATAGCAGAACCTGGATGCTCGTATTGGTTCCTACATATTCTACGAAGATCTTTATCGGTCAAACCACATAACAACATACGTTGTTCCCTTTGTCATCGGTATGTTACTTGCCCGAGATTCGATCGTCGGTATCCTCATACCTAATTCAATCTCATTACCGGCAAGTCTCTTTACTCATTCCATAATACATCATCTCGCAACTAACTCATTAGTCACAATGCTTGCAAGGCTTATAGTGATGTGTATTACCGAGAGGGCCCAGAGATAACTCTCCAACAATCGGAGTGACAAATCCTAATATCGATCTATGCCAACTCAACAAGTACCATCGGAGACACCTGTAGAGCACCTTTATAATCACCCAGTTACGTTGTGATGTTTGGTAGCACACAAAGTGTTCCTCCGATACTCGGGAGTTGCATAATCTCATAGTCATAGGAACATGTATAAGTCATGAAGAAAGCAATAGCAACAAACTAAACGATCATCGTGCTAAGCTAACGGAATGGGTCAAGTCAATCACATCATTCTCTAATGATGTGATCCCGTTAATCAAATGACGACTCATGTCTATAGTTAGGAAACATAACCATCATTGATTCAACGAGCTAGTTAAGTAGAGGCAAACTAGTGACACTCTGTTTGTCTATGTATTCACACATGTACTAAGTTTTCGGTTAATACAATTCTAGCATGAACAATAAACATTTATCATGATATAAGAAAATATAAATAACAACTTCACTATTGCCTCTAGGGCATATTTCCTTCACATCCATCCCCACATAGTTTTAAATTTTGAAATCATGATAGATGACTTAGATCCCATAAAAACCTTTTGACATTGTAGGCAACTTAGGTCCCTTATGGACAACTTCCATGGTATTGTAGGCAATTGTGGATCACTCATAGCCAACTTCTAGCGACTTAGGCAACTTGGTTTCTGAAGCCATGTTAGAGAAGTTTCCACTCTATGGTAAGCAACTTTCACAGTATGGTAGGCAACTAAACAATCTACAACTTAGTTTCTGGACCATGATAACCACCTATTACATGAGTGCACACAACTAATTAGGAGGCTACTAGGTGAATTCACTTATACACACAATGCAATTTCTTTAATACTCCCTCCATTCCAAAATATAGTGCGTTCGCGCTTCCCGAGGTCCAACTTTGACCATAAATTTAACCAACGAGACCAATTGCGGCGGAAGAAAAAATTATATAATTGAAAACTTCTGTCGAATACGAATTCACTGATATAATTTTTACTCCCGCCGCAATCGGTCTCGATAGTTAAATTTACGGTCAAAATTGAAACACGTGGATAGAGGAAGCACTACATTGTGGAATGGAGGGAGTATCAAAGTTGCAGATTTTTAGCACTAAAGTTGCCTCATATAGCATGAAAGTTACTTTTAAAAAATCATCAAAACATATTCAAATGGGATCTACTTTTGAATAGCACATCGCGGGGAAACCAACGGTGAAAAGTTAGCACATGCATGTGCATCGGCGGTGGCTATCCACATGCACGCTAGCACAGTCCCCACACACTGCCACGAATTGTTGACTGTTGTGTTAAATAGTCAAAGCATCAGCACATGCATGCATCAGACAGATTACACGTGTGCGCTCGCAACGCTCAGATAGCGCAGCTGCGCGTTTAAGTATTTATATTTTTTATATACTTTTTCTTTGAGGTATCTATTTTCTAATACTCTCTCTGTTCCTAAATATTTGTCTTTCTAGAGATTTCAGCAAGTGACTACATACTGAACAAAATGAGTGAATCTACATTCTAAAATATGTCTATATACATCTGTATGTGGTAGCCATTTGAAATAACTAAAAAGACAAATATTTTAGAACGGAGGGAGTACTTGCCTGCGCCGGGACCCAGTAGTAGTAGCAGAAACAAAAGGAAAGCAGGTGAGGCTGAGGACCACGCGACGCACAGCAGCCCTTGCCCTCCAGGGTATCCTTATCCTCGCAAAATTTAACTAGTTTCGGCTAAGTGCCCATGGCCCGCGCAGATATGTCGGCAGCCCGAGCAGGCAGATATTTTTCGATCGAGCGCGTGGGATTCCTAGCTGGAGCGCTCCGCGTCCACACATTCCAACCTGGCTCGGCCCGTTCTTTTCCAGCGTGGAGCCCGGGTGGATAAGGATAGGTGGAAGCGGTCGTGCAGCAGCAGTCGAATTGTGACGCGCGCCCGTCCCTGTTCGTTTGAAATTGAAAGGGCCAGGTTCATCCCCCGCATTCCCAATCTGGAATTTACTAAGGTTGCCTGGCTCATGGTCACGGTGCGCTGCGCTCTGGATCACTGAATTTTATAAGCAAAACAGCGTCTCTTGGATTCTCTCTGTTGGACACCAAGCAGTATCATGCAATTTTAATTAGGATAAATTTACATAAAGTATCGTTAGTCCAGTCATGTCATTGCCGAAAAATATTGTTGCCAGTGGCCCCATGTAAAGTATTGGTTTTTTATCCGTCAGTCATGTCATTGCCGAAAAATAATCAGTCGGTTCATGTTAATACGACTTGGCTGTGTGCGCGCAGCAGAAAAGCCCAGGGGATACCGACGTTCTCGATTCCGAATGGGGGACAGGCAGCTGCTTGGGAGCCCAAGATAAGGGACCACGAGAGAGCCCCGTCTGAGGTGTACAGCAATCCGTCAACACATGGAACCCACGTCACCCCACGACCCGTCCCTCTCACGCCTCCTCTCCCCCACGGTGGCCCGAGCCGGAGTTCCCCTCTCTGCCCGCCCCGCGACCGCCACACTCCCCGACCCCTACCAACCAGGAAGCGAGAAAAGAGAGAGGCGAGCGGCGCCGGAGGAGGAGGAGACTGCTTTCCCGGCGGAAGATGGCGCGGCGCGGGCGTGTGGAGCTGCGGCGGATCGAGGACCGGACCAACCGGCAGGTGTGCTTCTCCAAGCGCCGCTCGGGGCTCTTCAAGAAGGCCTTCGAGCTCTCGCTCCTCTGCGACGCCGATGTCGCGCTGCTCGTCTTCTCCCCCGCCGGAAAGCTCTACGAGTACTCCTCCTCCAGGTGCACGCTCGCCGCCGCGCACTTTTTTTTTACCTGCTCTTCAAAGCCAGTACTCTGGATTCGCCTGGTAGAATCCGCGGACCGCGGCGTGCGCTCGGTCGATTTTCTACGATTTCCCCTTAGCTTAACGGTTGCAGACGGCTGCTCTGCGGGGCGCACGCCATATGCTTGAGACAATCCCCGGCAGGCTTTCCACCTTGCACGAACCTGCCTAGCATCTTGGCTTTTTTATCTGTGCACTGCTAGTATTGGTACCACCACCTTGCATGAGCGTGAGCAGGGGCATGTGCTCTGCTTTTGAGATGGCGTTTTGCTTCGTTCGAGGGAAAAGCGTAGTATTGCACTGCGCCGGGGAAGCTTCTCTAATGGCGTCCTCGCAAAAAAAAAAACTTCTCTAATGGCGTGGACCGTGCGCTCGTATTCTTCCGCCTAGGACACTTGAGCCTGTTGCCTTTTGTTGGCTCCTGCATGGTCAACCAACACATGCTGCCCGCCTGGTGATTACGATTTTTGTTTGTGCGTCCTCTTTGACCGGTGACGAATTTCCCATCGCCAGATGCCGACAGTGGAAGCACCGGAAGTTAACGTCAGGCCTATACTGTTGAGTTTAACACATTTTTTTCCGATGAAGGGCGGATTCTATTAACTCAAAATGAAGCATCAAGTGGATACAAAACACAATGAGCACACACCCGACTTCTGTATAGATAGAATGCACACACACAAAAACACAAAGGCGAGTAGCAAAGTCATACAAGACTAAAGCTTTGCCTAAGTTAGAAAAAAGAAAATGACACCAAAGCGAACAACTGCGATCGACAAACTACAAGAGCGACCATATCCGCACCAACTATCTCTTGACACCACGAAGACAACGAGGTTCTTCAACAGCAACGCCTTTAGAAAGGAAATGCCGCACAAGCATCATCGTCACCGGATCCAACCACCAAAGGTCAAATTCTAAGTTTTTCACCCAGAAGAACGGGTCCGAGCATATCCAAGCAATGCCTTCAACAAGGTAACGACGGAAGACATCGTCATTGCCAGTCATAACCAACCATGGTCAGACCTAGGGTTTTCATCCCGGAGCTCGAGACCAGGTACTCAAGAAGCACCATCAACTCGGAGTCAATCATCTGTTGTCGCCACCACTTTTCCACAATCTCAGAGCAATGTTGGGGCTTGGCACCACTGCACAATCATACCCTCTGCGTCAAGTTGTCATTTGTAGATTGCATCTCACCGTCGAAGCAAATTGGCCAGAGCAAGAGCCGCCAAAACCACGAAAGGGCCTTCCGGCTGCATCCCGCAACATCACCAATTTCACGCTAGACGCACCAACAACGGCTTCACGGCATCCTTCACGATGAAGATCCAGCCGTAGCGGACATCTTCTGGTCCGATCTGGACGCCAACAGCCAGTAGAACCTGGCCGCCATCAGATCTGGTGGGCAGGCTGCGACCAGACCATGCGGGGGCACATCCTTTGACTTGGCCCGAGCCACAGCACAGAGCCCGCTAGGACCGAAGGCACCGGCCTGATCGATCAGTTGGAGCGCGGGCGCGAGCGATGGATCGAAGGCATCCACCCGATCTGTTGGAGCGCTGGCGTGAGTGATCCAATCACTGGATCAAAGGCACCGGCTTGATTTGTTGGAGCGCCGGCGTGAGTGATCCAGTTGTTGGATCGAAGGCACCGGCGTGAGTGATCGAGTCCTGGATCTGATGCGAACTGCTATGAGCATTCGAGTCCCTGGATCCGATGCGAACTGACATTCACTGTGGGGTCGAGCGGAGAGGGGAGGACCACTGGGAGGAGGTTCGCTGTGGCGGCATTTGCGGCGTTTAACACATGAAAATCGTTATACTGGAAGTATGCACGCAACTTTTTTACTTCTTTATTTATTTATAAACACCGAGGATAAGTGGATAACGAGATGCGTATGCACATTCGTACCCACTCTTTAAAACACTTCTTTTTCATAAAGTTAGTCTATCCATCAAACATTACCGAAAGAGGCTTTCACCCCGCTTTATATATAAAGCAAACTACGAGAGCCACAAGATCCAACAAATGTTAACATCGCACACGCACGCAAAGATAGCAGACAAATAGAGTGCTAAAAGATTCTGCTGAGGGCACAACTCAATAAGCCCTTAATAAAAAACGAAAAGAAAGGCGGCAACACACAAGCCACGAAGGGCTAATCCGGCTCAGGGGGTGGAGGAGGGTGCGGCGGCGCCAAGCGGAGTTCCATCACGCGAAGATCAACAATGATGATGTTGATGACGTCTCGATCCTAAGGGCGGCTAAGCGGCTGCCAGAGCTTCAAATAGCCACACATTTCGAAAACTGCATCGATAGCATGTCGAATAGGAACACGTTGGATCACAAGTTTATTACGGACGGTCCAAAGCGTCCAGGCGATAACCCTGATTCCCAGCCACCTAATGTGGCGGACACGTTGCGGGAAGGCCTGGATTTCCTCAAAGAAGTCGAGGAAGTTGTTGTGGTACCAACGTCCACCAACCATTTCGCGGAAGCAACTCCAAAGGAATTGTGCCGACACACATGTGAAGATGTGATTCGAGTCCTTCGTGCTGCACAAGGGATAGAGCCCATCTCCAGGGCCATTCCGCTTGAGCACCTCCACGCCAAAGAGCGCTCGGCCCCGGATCCATTGCCAGAGGAAAATCTGGATCTTCAGAGGTAGTCTAATCACCTAGATCTAAACTAGGGGCGTGGTGGCAAGGCAACCGCAATGGCCCGATAAAGGGATTTGGTTGATAACCGACCCGAGGGCTCCAAATGTCAGGAAATGTGATCACTCGGTAGATCCACGTCCTGAGACTGCAACCTGATGCACTCGAGGAGTTCCTCCTATGCGGCAAGTTCCGAGGGCCCAAATGGCCTCTGAAACGCGAGACGCCCTAAGTCAATAAGGGCCATCTCGATGGAGATCCTAGGTTCGACCGCGATGTCGAACAAGTCTGGGAATAGGGCGGCGAGGGGGCGATCCCCAACCCATTTGTCAAACCAGAAAAGGGTAGTCTCCCCCGACCCTGCCGCGATGGAGATCCTGTTGCGGAGGACTGGGAGTAACTAGATGATGGACTGCCAAAACTGCAAGCTGCCAGTCCGCTAACACAAGGCAAGTGGTTTTCCATGGAGATATTTGTTCCGGATGATGTCAAGCCAAAGGCCGCCCTCCCCATTCGCAATCCGCAACAACCAACGAGTTAGCAAGGCAATGTTCATGCGTCTGGATGACATGATCCTGAGCCCGCCTTGGCCACAACGCTTGCAGATGCTGGGCCAGTGAACCATATGGCACTTTTGCTTGTCGCCATCGCTAGCCCAGAAGAAATGCGCCTGATACTTGGCGATCCTGTGGTGGAGGGCCTCATGGAGGCTATAGAAGCTCATGATGTACAAAAGCAAGCTGGAGAATGAAGAGTTGATGAGCATAGTCCGGGCCGCCTTGGACAGCCAACGGCCCTGCCAAGGTTCAACACGGTGTTGGAGCTTAGTCACTGCGGGATGAAGATCCGCCAGGGAAAGCTGGGAGTCACTAATGGGTATCCCGAGGTATGACGTCGGGAAGGAGCCCAACTGGCAATTGAGGCGTTCAGCAATGCTCTGGTACTCGGTAGGCGAGTAGCCCAACACCATGATTTCACTCTTGTCGAAGTTGACCACGAGACCCGACATCTACTGAAAGCATAGGAGCAAGAATTTCACATCCATCAAACACCATGACAGTACAAAGAACACAATAAGTAACAATAATTATAACTATGTCCGCAGATCACCTAGTGACAATTACAAGCACTGGAGCAAGGCAAAGGCACCTAGTTGTAGTAGATAGTCAACAAGTCGTCCTGCTATGACTCTAGAGGACCAGCACACCAGAACACGAACCACCGCCGATAAACAAAAGTATAGATTGGAAGGATACAACCAGTAGACACATAAACATAGACGAGCGAAGACTGGTCCACCCGGATCCACCGAAGACAAACACTGACTGAATCCTATGAGATCCACTAGATACACACCTCCACACACCCTCCGACGACGAGGACGCACGGCCGGGACTAGGGCTAGGCAGGGAGAACATTATTCCATCTTAAGAGAGTCGCGGCCACCCCGCCTTCCTGTGTAGGACATAAAGCTAAGCAGACTAAAAAACACCTAAAAACAAAGTATAAAACACCTACTCCAATAGGTAAATTTGCAGGGTCACTGCTCATCTTCTTTTGTGCAGTGTAACCAAAACATAATTTTGCATAGAACAAAATTTGTCAAAGACAACATAAGATAGTAATTGATTGATTAAATGCATGTACATAAAAACTATCATGCCTAAGTCTAATCCATTGCAAAGACAATAGCTATGTGTCGGTGTACTAAAGTTTGGGCCCTTTAGTACCCCATACTTGTGCACGGGCAGCTGCAGCCGTACCCGCGGCAAGGCTTGACGGGGACAACTGGAAGCAAATACGGGACGACCAAAGAAAACCACAAGCTGGGCTCCCGGGAAGGTTCTTGCCAGGATGGGTTGCGAAGCGAAGCCCCGGCAAGACCACCCCCCTTGAGGTTGAGAGCTCTGACACCATCGACAATGTTAAGACCAAGATCCAGGGGCGTCTGCGTGGTGGCATGCAGATCTTTGTGAAGACCAAAAGGCAAAGTTCCCAGCAAGATTCTTGACGTGAACGTTTGCGAGGCCCCGACAAGATTCTTGCCGGGAACATTTGCGAGGCCCCGACAAGATTCTTGCCGGGGACGTCTGCGAGGCCCCGGCAAGACTCGCACACGGCAAATATCCCACCGCCCTGCCATCGCTCCAGCGCAGCGACTAGCCTGCCAGCCTGGCCCTGCGAGCCTCGTCATCCTGGATGTGTGTCGAGATGGGGTGAGGCGGCGACGGATGGGACGGGCTCTTTTTCCGTCCCCAAGAAAGTTAAGGACACGTAAACAGCGCATTAAATGCATT